AGGGCGGAGGGCGGGGCGAGTGACCCGCTCCCCTCCGCCGTCTCACCCCTCCAGGGTTTATGACCCGCGAGGAGCGCAAGAAGTTTGAGAACTTGAACTCATCCTACAACAAGTATTGGGTGCCCTGCGTCTGGTTCTCTAACCTGGCGGCACAGGCCCGGCGGGAGGGCCGCATCCGGGACAACAGCGCCCTTAAACTGCTGCTGGAGGTGGGCTCGCCAGCTGGCCATTCATACAAAACACCAGAGACAAAACACCAGACGACGAGCCACGCGCCTCCCACGAGGCCGATTCCAAACACCCTTCCCTAGCAGCCCCCAGGTGCACAGCTATCTCATGCTCCCCCCCCCCAGGGGTACACTCACCACTAAATACTCTCCCTGGAGCCCCCAGAAGCACACGGTGACCACTCACCTCCATCCCAAGTACCCACACTTAATCCCCACGTGTGAGCTCACCAGCCAGGCCGGCTCATGACTTGCATCTGCCCCCAGGAGCTGACTGTGTTTCGGGGCAAGTGTTCGATGCTCTTTCACTACGACTGGATCAGCATACCCCTCGTCTACACCCAGGTAATCCCGCAGTGCCTCCTCATAGACCTGAGGAGACGCACTGGTCTCAAGGGGACATGGAGGACCAGCTAAGACCCCGTCACAGTGACTCCTGACCCTAGCCCTGGTCTCTCCGAGAACCCGAGGCCAGGAGAGCCCTGACCTGGCCACCGCTGCCCCCAGGTGGTGACCATCGCAGTGTACAGTTACTTCCTGGCCTGCGTCATCGGTCGCCAGTTCCTAGACCCTGCGCAGGGCTACAAAGACCACAACCTTGACCTGTTTGTGCCCGTCTTCACTCTGCTGCAGTTCTTCTTCTATGCCGGCTGGCTCAAGGTGGCTGGGGCCCTGAGCCTGGGCTCCGGGAGTGGGGCGGGCAGGGGCTCTCAGGTCTCCGCTTACCTCCCTTCTCCCCACTCAGGTGGCAGAGCAGCTCATCAACCCCTTTGGAGAGGACGACGACGATTTTGAGACCA